TGGTAATTTACATTTGTTTGAACATAATAATGCAAACCAACGTGCTTGAAGTTCTATTACTGGTGGTACAGCACCCAATGATGGTCGAGCAAATCCAATCCAAATCAATTCATCACCAATATCTGGATGAATACAATGTTTATATAAATTATGTGCTACTGTTGCTTCTTTTGCGATACGTTTTAAATTAGAATCATAACTTTCTTCTAAAAATTTAAAGGAATTCTTAAATCCTGTACAACAAACAATTTCATCAACATATTCTTCTGTATCATCATCAAATATAATTGAATTTGTTGTTAATTCACGTATCCCAGGTTTTCGTTGACATTTGTGTTTATATGTGACTAATGCTTCGACTAAATTTGAATTTTTTGTACCAAATGTTGTCCATATATTACTTGTATGAACTTGTTTTAAATTCATATAAATTCCAGTTCTTCTTATTTGATCTTGTTCAGTTAATCTACCATTTTGATATATTAAACATCTTATATATAATTTAAATAAACTATTTAGCAAATCAATATATGTATGTAAAACACCCCATGCACGTGGTATTGAATGATGAGCACGCGATGCATCTAAATCAGCTGGTCCATATTCAGTACCATGAATATACCGTGGTATAAGAAAACCATGATCATTTCTTATCGATAAATATGCTTTCTTACCATATTTAGCCGCACTCAGTATCATATCACTGGCCGATTCGCCACTGCCAACAATACAAGTATATTTATTTGAAAATTCTTCATATAATCGGATATCTTTCAAATGTTTTATCTTACCTTGAAATAATTCTTGATTTTTGAATATTGGCAAATTTTTCGTTTTATATACACCAGAACATATTGCAATACGATCAAATATATAAATTTCATCTTCGTTTTCTGATACACATATTTTCCATTTATTTATCGAATTATCTTTCCAGACAGATTTAACTTCTGTTTGAAACTTTATATATTTATTCAAATGAAAATGTTCAGCATAGTCATTTAAATATTCTACATATTCACTAAATGTTAACATTCTAGGATGTTCTAGAATATCAGCATTTTTACCAACAAAATCACCAAACATTGTAATTAAATGACTTGATACAAATACACCCTCTTGATATGCTTCTGTATATAAACCACCAAGACAATTGGATTTTTCAAATATTGTACTTGTATGGCCTTCATCCAGTAATTCTTTGCATGTTACTAAACCACTGCAACCACAACCAATAATTCCAACATGAAGTTTATGACAATCACCAGACATGTTCTTTTGTTAGTCAAATCTGAAATGTCAAAAAACAACGAAAGTAAAATCGATCATAATTAAATCTCAAGATTCTGGAAAGAAAATAGGATCATTTTGTAATATAACTAAATGAACCGGAACTCTGGTATTTATACAGTTAAAAAACAGCAAATGATCACTCTGTCATCTCACGTGTGACGTTCATGTGTATTTCAATGTTAAGCAAAGAGTTTCAATAGTGACATGTCCAGTGACACTATGTTTTGTCTGTAGAGTATACGCAACTATCACTTTAAAATTTAATCAGAAATAATTATTTGTAAAAAATCACCAACAATCCCAAAAATTCAACAGAAAACTCAAAATCCTGTTCTGCAATGTAGGTTTTTCGAACTGAATCAGAATGCCCCTAGATTATTTTATTAGAATATTTATAAGCATTTTAAAACGTTGAAGTTGCATCCAAACATTCACTAAAAGATACAGAAGGCGTGCAGAAAACCACGGAGAAATCCTTTTTCAATCTGTACTATTTTCATTATACAAAATGCTTTCAATTACATTCTAGCTGCTGTTTGTTTTCTTTTGTACTGTAAAACGCATCTAGATCTGCTACTGAAAGGTTTCAAGCAGCTAAGTTTCTTAGTAGCAGATAATTTAGCGTTATTCGAATATAGTGTTAAAAGTACTAATTATTTCATCAAGCATAGTTTCATGATGACCATCATATAACTCACAACTTAAGAAGACATGTTTTGTTGGCTCTTTCCCAACACATGCAGAATCAAAAGACCGCATAAGCTTTCTTGTAAATGACGCATAATTCAACTGTTGGAAGTATAATCTAAAACGTGTGTAGGTCACTTCCATTTAGGTCCTCTTACCATTACATGACGTAAAAGTCACAAAACTTCACCACTCTTGTCGTGCAGAGGATAGAAAGTTACATAGAATCACTTATTTTTTCGCTAAAATTGTCATATTCTGCATCCCTTTTTAGGAATCTCAAGTTTCGGTCTCTCTTACAATGAAGCAACTTTGCCTTATGAAATTTGTTGGTAGAGCAGTTGGAAATAAGTATGTGCACGAACTGATGAATTTAAAGAAAGAAACGTGCAGCCATGCCAACTACAAGTTCTCCTAGAGTTATTTTTCTTTTTCTTCTTTTTCTGTTCTGTCCTTCTTATCTATTCGCTTCTTTTTATACCATCGTTTGTTCGAATGTCTATTACATTCCCGATGATGCCAACTGAAAGCTGGCGAAAGCTCGAATAAAGTATTTTCAAGACTGAAAGTCATGTTATTCATAGCAGTTCTGTATTCGATTTACAAAAACTTTGACCTTGTTTTACTCTACATCCATAGGGTTAACATCAACGGCTAATATACCGGATGAAGGAGCAGCTCGAGTAGTATAAGTGCTGATACTCAAAAGTTGTCCTACTACTTTTACACGGGCAGGCCAGCTGTCACAGAATGGCCAAAAATTAGAAAATGGCACTCAGTATTTCACCTCTTCTGAAGGCAACAACAAAATAAAACAAAACATTCTTGCACTATAGATAAAAATGAAGCTAAAGAAGAGCTGATTAATCTAATAGAAAAGAATTAGCTCATTACCTATCTTCCTCTTTGAGCACGAAGCTCATCTTTAAAGACCCTCACATACACTACTTAACTAGTACTACAAAACCCCTCAGGCTTGCAAACACCTGACAATGGTCGAATCACATCCCTCTCTAAAAAAGGCCGCCCCAAAGGTGGCCTGAAGACACATCCCTTTAGACAGTTGGTTATATTTAGATCAGGAATGAGATTTGCTGTCAAATTTTCATGATAGATTCAGAAATAGCTGAAAATCTATTCAATCGTAAGAAAAGTTCCTCGGAATCGGTAAAAGAATTGATAGAAATCCCTGTTCCATATGAAAGAGATCTTAAGTAAATATGTAAAATCTCCAAACGAAAAGTCTGTAGTTGGTCGCTCTATCTGCATGAACCTCTCAGAATGTACCTGAGTCGGATTTACTTACGTTTAGCTATCGTATACGTTAACACATGCGTATGCTAATAGATGGCTGATGAAAGTTAATGTTTTAAAAGTATTTTGCATGAAGAACATTAAATATTTATCGCGCATGATAATGCATTTTTTACACATGTAACAATTGCGTTTCAGTTTTACTTTAAGTACTAGCAAGGGTAATCATTCACAACATCGAGATAATGTCAATATTAAAAATGAAAAGCAATTGTTACATGTGTAAAAAATGCATTATCATGCGCGACAAATATTTAATGTCCTTCATGCAGAATATTTTTAAAACATTAGTCATCAACAAACATCCGTCATCTATGATATCAAGCCATCACAATATTGATATATCATAATATGCACCTTTATATACTCACAGAAAAGAAATCGCTTTGTCCTATAATAAAAATAAACGAAAAAAGGTTAAAAACATAACGAACATCGTAGTAAGATTGATGATTATGTATATACCATGAAAATTGGGCGTGTCTTCAGGAAAGATTGCATAATTCAAAAACAAAAAGTATATAGTTTTATTTATTTAAAGAGGATTGTACTACAAAAAATACTTCTGCAGGATACTAAACTTGATATTGCCAATACACACCTACAAAAAAACGAAAACGTAGATCATATACAAGAAGATAACACAGAAAGAAAAG